ATAATACAAGTAATGAGAGGGATTCACGACGCAATCAACAGCCAAGGTTGTCTCGGGTCACGACCTCTTACGCAGATCATTGCGAGGGTGGTGAAACTCTTGGCAGGAAGCCAGACTTGAGCCCCGTCCGCGAACAGGCGCACGGGCCGCTGTGCGGGCACGGCCAAAACGCGTTTGAGATCAGTGTGACCCGATACTCCCCAGGGCTCATACTGAACGTCCCGTTCCAAGTAGAGGGACACATGTTGGTTTTTACGAAGTTGGGGGCATCATTCTCCAGCCCATTCCCGGTTCGCACCCGGGCGCCAGCGGGATGCGTCAGCCCAGCCCCACCGTGGGCACCGCTTCATTCGAGCGGACTGGAAGTCCTGAGCACTGCTCGCCATCACGCCCTGGACCGCGGCCCTGCCGGCCCCTCCACCCAGTCCGGCAAGACGAGAGCAGGAGATGCTCAGCACACTCACGCTGATTCTGATTCCGCTGATGGTCTGACTGACGCTGACAGAATGCTAATGATTCAGACTGATTTCGCGCATGATCTGGTTACAGGAGAGGCTTATAGCTGGCAGCCACTTCGTCTGGAGTTTCGCCCGCGGACACCTCCCGTTGTCGAAGCCCCAGCATTTATCTGGCGCGAGGCTCAAGTGGATCCAAACGCGCCCGCGGCACCCACACATTAATCATCAGCGACGCATCATTCCTCATAGCACGTCATAATAAATGAGCCTCCGTACGATGGTAAATGTACGCAGACGCATGTCGGGCCGGTCCCAAACCCGCGCGCCTCGAAAGCACGCTCTGGACCGGATCGTATCGCTGCTAATGACCGCCCTGGCCGGCCGGGAACAGGCGGCAACGGCCGCGGCGCGTCTCTCACGACCTGTGCGCTATGTTTACAGCAGCCGCACGCGCGCGCAGACCACGTGGCGGCCGCCGCCTGCAGGGCCCGCCAGGCCAGGACGCGCAGGGCACATGGCGGGGGTCGCCGCTCCGGCCGGCCGGCCTGGCGGGAGCGGGAGCGAGAGCGAGGGCGGGAGCGGGAGCGGGAGCGGGAGCGGCGGCGGCGATCAAGACCGGCTCCGCTCGCCGGCTGCTCCCGCTCCGCTGCAGTTGCCGGCGGGCACGGCACAGGGTCCGCGCAGCCGAGCCGGGCAGAGCACCTGTGGAGACCGTCCGGCTGACCCAGATCAAAAGTGCTTGCTGTGTAGGGGGAGGGGGGGGGGGGGGGCGGGGCCGTAAGTGACTGCACGCTGCGCGGGGAGCATGACAGGCGGGCTATCCTCATGGGGTCTAGGACACTTACCACTCGAATACCTCTGTAGATGCTGAAGGCTGTAGGGAACAAAGCACCGATCGCTGATGTGATGTCTGCCTGCAGGGCCCGGGCAGCCAGCAACCCTCCGCTGGCGAGGACCTGCACTAGTGCACCGACAGCCAGTAACCCTCCGCTGGCGAGGACCTGCACTAGTGCACCGACAGCCAGTAACCCTCCGCTGGCGGGGCACTGTACTAGTGCACCGACAGCCAGTAACCCTCCGCTGGCGAGGTGCCGCACTAGTGCACCGACAGCCAGTAACCCTCCGCTGGCGGGGCACTGTACTAGTGCACCGACAGCCAGTAACCCTCCGCTGGCGGGGCACTGTACTAGTGCACCGACAGCCAGTAACCCTCCGCTGGCGAGGTGCCGCACTAGTGCACCGACAGCCAGTAACCCTCCGCTGGCGAGGTGCCGCACTAGTGCACCGACAGCCAGTAACCCTCCGCTGGCGAGGTGCCGCACTAGTGCACCGACAGCCAGTAACCCTCCGCTGGCGAGGTGCCGCACTAGTGCACCGACAGCCAGTAACCCTCCGCTGGCGAGGACCTGCACTAGTTCACCGACAGCCAGCAACCCTCCGCTGGCGAGGTGCCGCACTAGTGCACCGACAGCCAGTAACCCTCCGCTGGCGAGGTGCCGCACTAGTGCACCGACAGCCAGCAACCCTCCGCTGGCGGAGCACTGTACTAGTGCACCGACAGCCAGCAACCCTCCGCTGGCGAGGTGCCGCACTAGTGCACCGACAGCCAGCAACCCTCCGCTGGCGAGGTGCCGCACTAGTGCACCGACAGCCAGCAACCCTCCGCTGGCGAGGTGCCGCACTAGTGCACCGACAGCTAGTAAGCCTCCGCTGGCGGGGCACTGTACTAGTGCACCGACAGCCAGTAACCCTCCGCTGGCGGAGCACTGTACTAGTGCACCGACAGCCAGTAACCCTCCGCTGGCGGAGCACTGTACTAGTGCACCGACAGCCAGTAACCCTCCGCTGGCGGAGCACTGTACTAGTGCACCGACAGCCAGTAACCCTCCGCTGGCGGAGCACTGTACTAGTGCACCGACAGCCAGCAACCCTCCGCTGGCGGGGCACTGTACTAGTGCACCGACAGCCAGTAACCCTCCGCTGGCGGAGCACTGTACTAGTGCACCGACAGCCAGTAACCCTCCGCTGGCGGGGCACTGTACTAGTGCACCGACAGCCAGCAACCCTCCGCTGGCGGGGCACTGTACTAGTGCACCGACAGCCAGTAACCCTCCGCTGGCGGGGCACTGTACTAGTGCACCGACAGCCAGCAACCCTCCGCTGGCGGGGCACTGTACTAGTGCACCGACAGCCAGTAACCCTCCGCTGGCGAGGACCTGCGCTAGTGCACCGACAGCTAGTAAGCCTTCGCTGGCGAGAACTTGCACTAGCGCACCGACAGCCAGTAACCCTCCGCTGGCGGGGCACTGTACTAGTGCACCGACAGCTAGTGAGCCTCCACTGGCGAGGACCTGCACTAGTGCACCGACAGCCAGTAACCCTCCGCTGGCGAGGACCTGCACTAGTGCACCGACAGCTAGTGAGCCTCCACTGGCGAGGACCTGCACTAGTGCACCGACAGCCAGTAACCCTCCGCTGGCGAGGACCTGCACTAGTGCACCGACAGCTAGTAAGCCTTCGCTGGCGAGGACCTGCACTAGTGCACCGACAGCCAGTAACCCTCCGCTGGCGAGGACCTGCACTAGTGCACCGACAGCCAGTAAGCCTTCGCTGGCGAGGACCTGCACTAGTGCACCGACAGCTAGTAAGCCTTCGCTGGCGAGGACCTGCACTAGTGCACCGACAGCTAGTAAGCCTCCGCTGGCGAGGACCTGCACTAGTGCACCGACAGCTAGTAAGCCTCTGCTGGCGAGGACCTGCACTAGTGCACCGACAGCTAGTAAGCCTTCGCCGGCGAGGACCTGCACTAGTGCACCGACGGCCAGTAATCCTTCGCTGGCGAGGACCTGCACTAGTGCACCGACAGCCAGTAACCCTCCGCCGGCGAGGACCTGCACTAGTGCACCGACGGCCAGTAACCCTCCGCCGGCGAGGCGCTGGACTAGTACACCGACGAGGCGCCGCACTGGAAAAGCACAGGTATCGGACGAGATAACTCGTGACTCGTTTGACCTGGCATTTTCCCAGCAGATGAAGGACTCGCTGGGGCAGTCGGTCCACCCCCCCGGCGACCGTCATGAGTTCGCATGACGGTCACCGTCACGCTACCGCCTGCCTCACAGAACCAAACAGCAAAGACCACTCTGCCAGACCAGTTATCGCCGATGTAAAAACGACACGATCCCAGCGCCGCGCGAGGTCACGCTCCCTTACCGCACATGTGCACACGGAAACCGGAAACACCATCAGCCGCGAACAAAAACGGCGGGTAAAATGTACTGGAACATGTTCACACCACCTGTTATAAACGCGCGGGCCCATGACCGACAAACCCTGAAATGCCTCTGATACGGACAGTAAAAGTCCGTTTTAAACGGCAGTGCGTGCGACAGATTTGATCACTGTGCCTTTGAAGGCGAGTGGTCATGTCGATCGTGAGCCTTTGGTGAGGACAGCGGCACGATCCTTCCAGTCGTGCACGGATGTTTTCCAAATAGCATGACACTTTCGTGGGTGCCGTGTCCATATATGTATAACGATACCGTTCTAAAGATCGACTGTATGCCGTGCTAGCTGACAATGCCCGCTCGAAGAGACACCGCGCTATCGACGGGGCTTGCATGGGTTTTCCCAGGGTGTCCTCCCATTCTGGCATCAGTGCCACATGTCCTGGCCCGCCTGTCACGTGTTGTCCCTAGCTGAAGAGCGCAGCTTCCCGGGCGCGGTGTACGTCTGCGCGGCGGAGTCCAGCGGGCTTCGCAGGCACAGCACGTGCCTGGCCGGGGTGACTCTGGGACTCCCTCCGGCCGCTCCATCCATGGCTACGGTAGCGGCACCGCGCCCGTCATCCGCTGGAACGGCCGCGCCCGCCGACAAAACAGCTGCGTCTACAGCTTCCCGTTCGCACAGCTGAGATCGTGGACAGCCGAGATTCTAGCCAGAGCACCCTCCGCTCGACAGCGCGTCTGCTTATAATGCAGCTGGACCAAGGCCGCCCGGCAAGACATCTTCATCTATGCCGCAACACGGCAGACGCCCAGAGCCCGGAAAACCGGCTCCACCCGTCGTCGCAGATCCAGAGTCCACTCGTTGGCATCGCGAGGGCACGTGCACGCAAAGGGCGGCAGCCGGCAAACACGGCTGTAGGGAGGTGCCTCGCCGCGGTAAACGGCACACGCTACAGGCTGGCGCCGGGCTTCCGGAATACTCGGGCTCGTTATCCGACAGAATTATCTTTCTGCCCCTCTTCTAGCTCGCCGAGGGGCACCATGTGCAAGAAACATGTGTGATCAAGGACACGAGGGCAGATTCGTCCTTGCATAAGTTTTCACATCACGATTCCTCCTTTCTGCCTAGCGTCCCAAACGCATCACACCCCGGTGTCGTACATACATCTGAACGCCGCATTCTAACCCTCATCGATCTCCGAGAATACCCAAGCTCAAACACCACGCCGCCCGCAAGCCAAACGCACGCCCGGAGAGTGTGCGCCGCCCTGGTTGGCCGCGCGCGGCGCGCTGGCAGGACGGACCCGCCACTGACCTCCGGAGCGCAGCCGTCCGTGGCCGGCTTTCGGTGCGGTTCATGACGCAAGGCCTCCTGGAAAGGAGAGACGGCCATTAATAAAGATGGAGGTTTTTACGCCTGGGTCGAATGATCCGTCAAATGTGTCGCGTCGGGTGCTTTTTACTCGGCCACCCGAATGTGGGCGGATGGGAATGTACAAACCAGCCGTCGTCCGGCGGCCGACGAGGAAACCGGCTGCGCACGAGGCGGCTGTTCCCACATTTACGGAGGCGCGCCTCGCGTTTTTGTCTCCGTAAGCTCCATGGTAGGTGCAGCATGGAGCCATGCGCGGAGGGCCATAGTCCCCTGGTGTTACCAGTGCCTCATTTGTTTATGGTCATCGGTCATTCTCCAGTGCTGCCAGGAAAGCGTACCTCCGCTCGGTGCCAATTTGTAGCTGCCGTGCGCTCGCGCTTCTCGCTCAGCCTACTCAATACATTGCTCCTAGTGGCTGGCAGTTATGGCGGACGCCAGTCACCGAAACGGGTCAATGGACCCCTTACAATGGACCCCTATCCACTCACAAGGGGTCAATGGACCAGCATTGCATGATTGGCAAGCTACACAGGATAGCACAAAGCTGTTTAAAGCGATAACTGTCGACAAAGATTTGGCTAGATGCAAAAGCATCGGCCAGCCACAGCCGCAGGGTGATCAAAACCAACCGCCCAAACTTTGATGTGGCCAGCGTGCTTAAAAATGCTTCCAACGGAAATCATCAACGATTGCCGAACATGACGGCGGTCTGCAAAACCGCGCTGACACCAATGGCTGATAATGACTGTTGGGCTGTACCGGGGGTGTGACGAGAAAACCGACGACCACCGGCGGGCGTCGTTATTACGGCACGTGACGAGACTGCCGACCTCCTGAGGCCGACAGGTTATTTCTGGCGCGCCCGGCCGCGGGCAGGGCCCGGTACGCAGCGAGCCGATCGAGCAAACGCCTCAGCCCGCCACCGCGTCCGCCACGCGAGCACGCCGCTCGAGCAGATCTGTCCTGTCCGGCCGGCGGCAGAGCCCCGCCTCAGCCCGCCGCTCGAGCAGAGCTGTCCGTTCCGGCCGGCGGCAAAGGCGCGTTCCAGCCCGCCGCTCGAGCAGAGCTGTCCGGTCTGGCCGGCGGCAGAGGCGCGTCCCAGCACACCGCTCGAGCAGAGCTGTCCGGTCCGGCTGGCGGCAGAGCCCCGCCTCAGCCCGCCGCTCGAGCAGAGCCGTCCGGTCCGGCCGGCGGCAGAGGCGCGTTCCAGCCCGCCGCTCGAGCAGAGCTGTCCGGTCTGGCCGGCGGCAGGAGGCGCGTCCCAGCACACCGATCGAGCAGAGCTGTCCGGTCCGGCAGGCGGCAGAGGCCCGCCTCAGCCCGCCGCTCGAGCATAGCTGTCCAGTCCGGCCGACGGCAGGGGCGCGTCTCAGCACGCCGCCGCACTCACGGCCGTGGCCGCCACGCGAGCGCGCCGCTGGGCCGGCGCCGGGGCCGGTTTGAGCGATGGCGCCTCAGCCGGGCGAAGCTTCGCTCTCCGCCTGCGACGAGGCGTGGTGACACCAACTGGTGCACGGGCGACGTCAGCGACAGAGCACGGCCTCGGAAGGAGCGGAGGGTGGGCCGGACAGCGAGAACGCCAGCGTCAACTATGCCGCAGGGCTCCAGCAGCGCACGTCAGCAAACTGTCACAACCTGCTCCAGCAGCGCACGTCAGCAAACTGTCACAACCTGCTCGCGACGGCCACGTCACAGCTGTTTGCACTGCACATTCGATACTGCTCACCACGTCCGTCCTTTGGACCAATGATTTATCAATCTGTATCAATCAATCTGTCAGTCAATGCTGTAGTGCATGCGCTGGAGGAATCAAATAAATTATAGCCGGCGTGAACAGGTTGGTGGAATGGGAGATGCGCGCCACCTCTCTGGTCCAGCTCACTGGCCAGATGTCGTCCGTTTCAATGGGAACCCCTTCAAGTCGTTCAAAGCCGCATACCTGATGTAAAATCATTCTGAACCAGCTGAGTCTGAAGAAATGGTACACACTGCAATGCAAAGGGAAGATGCTAGAAACCAATGGGCAGAGAAGAGTGCATACGAGTATTTACCAAATGGTCCGACATGGGGAGGCAATGCGATACATTGGTTAGTGAACACCGAGATCGGTAAATGACAAGGTTATGCAGATTAACTTCACCACAGAAGCTCAACCCTTTCCTCTGCTCATGAGTGTTGTCCAGACCCCGCCAGTCGCAGCCAGCGCACGACTGTCTCCTCATGCTGGCTCGCCATTTGGACTCGAACGCGCAGCAATGCGGACCAGAGCTTGGCGATTTTCGCGCGTACAATGTGCCCTGCGTCCAAAGTCCTCACATGTAAATCACATTTTGAAATCATACTTAACGAAAAAACAGAGGTTTTTTACCGAAGGCACTTTAAATACGTGTAACCAGGCCTCCCTACAGCCACAACACACAAGGCTACCGCAGGCAGCCCCATTGCCAACGGACACCGCCGCCGCCGCCGAACGTCCCGGCGCGCGGTGGGAGACACGGGCGGTTATTTATCGCTCAGCATTGCCCATGGCCGCGTCACAGACCAGCCTGCTGCCGTTGCATCCTGCATAGCAAACAGAAAGTCTTTTGAAAGAGCGCGCGCGGAATTCGTGGGCCTCTACAGCAGAGTGGGCTGGAAATTCAGCCTGATGACGGCCCACTGAGAATTCATGGCAGCGGTCAACAAGCGCGGCTAATCGCGCCCCTTCTCCGCAGCAGTCCCGAACCGACTACAAATCAGATGCCGATTACTGACTGATGACAAGATTGGCCCGCCTCATTACCTATGACCCCGAGCCGCCGGTAACCGGACGCCGGGTCATCCACCGCCGCCGTCGGAGGTCAGATGGCGAGATACCGACCTCACACGGTGACCGGAATCGGCGCGATCCGGCCGTGTCCGAGCAGAGCTGGGCTGACCGAGGTCGGCCCGGCGGCTGATTGCGGACGCGTGAGCGGCAGTCTCCAGCCGCCGCCGACACGCGGCGCGCGGACTGTCGGCACACAGCGCTGGGCTGACCCAGGTCGGCCCGGCGGCTGATTGCGGACGCGTGAGCGGCAGTCCCCGGCCGCCGCCGACACGCGGCGCGCGGACTGTCGGCACACAGCGCGGCGCGGCGGGCGGGACGTGCGCGGCCAGGTCGCTGGAGCGTGCCCTCTCCCTCCCTCTGTACACAGGCCGGGCGGGGGGCGACGCCTCCCGCCGAGGCCCGGCGCTGATCGGCGAGAGACACCGGGACGCGCCTGAGACGGCCAGGTGGCCCGCAGTGATCAGCGGGATATCGCAGACCGAGTTGACGCCAGCGCAGTGGCGGTCCTGAGAGACGGCTGCCAGCGGGGCATCGCGGCTTTCGTAGTCACGGGTGACGAGGCGCTCCAGAGCGGCAGAAGTCACTGGGACGCCTCAGCCGAAGCATCACACGAGCCGTCGTTTACGTCATAACCACCGGAGCCGTGCACAGAAATCCAGGGACATTTCGACTGATGCTGCGCTTTTCGCTTTAATCACCGTATGTGATGCACTGACAATTTCACGAAGTAGAAAAGGGGAAATAGAAGTAGTAGAGATGTAAAATTACTCCAGCCCAAATGTATGACATAACACACGAAAGCAAGAGCAAATACGGAAAATGATCGCGTTCAAACAATCTAAAACGCAACATAAGGGCTGTTCTCACGGCCCCCTCAACTTAAGCTCTGCTAAGCCATTAGCGCCCGCTCACCGAACAACACCCACCTCCACTGGCACCCAGCGCATCGCGTGGAACGCGGCGCGTCAGATAGCGGCGGCGCCGGTCGGCGGGCAGCCGCGGACAGCCGGCCGCGGCCGACCACCGGACGCGGCCGAGGCTCCGATAACCGTGGCGCCTCTCGCCGCTGTTTGTCGCGCCTATTTGTTTGTCGGGGCGCCGGGCGCACCGTTCCAGGCGCCCTCGGCAGATAAGATACGGCACGACGGACCGGTGACGCCCGGACGAGCCGGTCGGCCGGCCCTGCTGGCCCGGCAGCGCTCGGCTCGGCCCCGGCCCAGTGCGTCGAGGCACCAGCCCGGTGCAGTGATCTGTAGACGCACGTACGGCCTGGCCGGCATGACACCTGTAGATATTCTGGAGCTTCGCTGGCCTCCACGCTGGTTGAAGTCGCTGTGGGAGACCTGAGTGACGGTGCTGGATACGTCAGAAGAGTCGCTAAACTGTCCACTGCCTGTGCAGGTGCTCAGCAGTGAGCAGCGTTCGCGGAGGTTCGGTCCGATCCGGATCTTCACCTGGCTCCCCTATCTCTCTGACTCCCTGTGCTCGGGCTATATTGCGGAGTCACGTCGGCATCTCCGGTCTCCGTTCACGTTTCCGTCCGCCACCTCGCGTCGCCTCCTACAACGTGCCGCCTTCCACTCCTGTCCTCTCCGTTCTCCCGGCTCCGATGCGTAGTCGACCGTCTCGGGTCTGCCCCGGCCCTCGCACGCATCCATTCCCGCTCTGCCGCCGCCGCCGCCGCCGCCGCGGCTGCAACGGCAGCGGCAGCGACGGCTGGGGGCGCTCGCTGCGTCCCGCCGCGCCCGACACAAGGTTCCCTCACCGGACATCTCACCACTACAAAGTCGCTGCACTTTCGGCTCAGCCAGCGGCATCAATCACCTTCATTCTGGCGGAGGTAAGATGGAGACAGCGGCTTTGATGATTTAACTCCAATGCTAGCAATCAAACGTATTGCAGGGGCTCTGGTATGCACACCCGGAGCCCGAGCAAACACGCATTCTGCAGCGGTTGTCTGACCACACGGTTTAACACACAGGCTTACATAGGTTACCAGAGCCGCAGCTATGTGCCAGCTTTGCGTGGAGAGGAATGCAATGGCACGCACAAAGCACTGCTTTCACTCAACATAGCAGAGATTCGGCGTGCCAGACCACCCTCCCCGTACACGCTGAGCGGTCACTCAGGCCCCGCCGCTCAGTCCGGTCAAACCAGCCCATACGGCACCTGCCGCAGGGCAGCCGGC